TTTCCAGTACTTTTAATAAAAATCCCTCACTTTCCTCTGACTTTTCTGACCAATTCTACTTTCCCTGACTTTTTCCTAAATTCCTTGATTTCCCTGACCTGTGGCAACTCTGTAATAGTTATAAATAAAATGAAAAATATTTTTTACAACTGTTGCTTAACAATTAGCTAAAATATTTATCTTTTTATGAAAATACAAAAATTGATCATCGAAATTAATAAATAAATAAATAATGAATAAAAATAAATAAAAATAAATAAAAATAAATAGAAATAAATTAAAATATATAAAAATAAGTAAATAAAGTAAATAAATAGAAACCCCTACAATAAAAATTTTAAAAACCAATTTTTTTTATCTATTATAGTTTCTAAGTAGTCCATGAAAGTGGACATCTATAAGAGACTACCATCTTCGATATCATCGCTGCTTGTGAAAATTTACATAGAAATTTAATTTTCATTCAGGAGGTTTATATAAATTTAATCTCATCGTAATAATTTAGGCGCATACTGCCATTGAATATTCACATTATCACCTCGGGCTAATGGTTATCCTCAATCCTGTCATCAAATAGATTGTAAACCAAGACAGGTGCAAACACTATAGAGAATGTGGTAAATGCAAAGAGCTTTTTCAACTATATACATAAGTGTCTAGAGATTGCATACATTACGAAAGTCTATATTTATGATTTATCATTTTGTTGACGTTTCAAAATTATAAATGTGACTACGAACAATGAAACTTTTTATTCTTTTTTTCAATTATAGAAAAAAGGTAAAATCAACGGCATTATTTTCAATGACTTTGCAACTGCGTGGAGAATATTTTATCTCTTCATTTTGATATCACTTTTATAATTTCTTCTTTATTGTTTATCTCAATTTAATTTTCTATTTAATTCTGAATATAAATTTTCTACCTCATTGTTATAAATTGGAATAATAATAATATTATAAATATAAATATAATATAAATATAATATAAATATAATATAAATATAATATAGATATAATATTATAATTGTAATAATATAAATATAACATTATAAATATAATATTTCTAAAAAAACGATAAAATTATTTTCAATTTAATTTAATACCATTAAATTTATTAATGGATTCATCTTCTAATTTTGTTAAATCAGAATTTTCAATCTTTAATTTGGTATAAAGGGATAGATGTTTGCTATACAGTTGGAAATGGAATTACGGACCTCATTTGTAGGGAGAGCATGAATGCCAAATAATCGCGTTCATCGAAATTCCTACACGTACTCCGCAATTCGTAAATGCAACGCACAAATTCGATCCCTTTATCAGTGGCTTACGGAAGTCACGTGCTCCTTCACTTTTCTCCAAGAAACTATTTTTATTTATTTATAAACTACATCGCAACTTCATTGTGTCAATTATATTAAAAAAAATTTGTCAATTTCTTCATTTTATTTATTTTTTAACTTAATTTTATTTCTTTCTCTTAAACGTGTCACGGTCTTTATCCCCACCACTGCTTCAATTCTCAAAATATTTTAACTAAAAATTTCACAATATGTTCTTGAAATATCACTGATTATTATTGAACAAAAGTTTCAAACGAATAAAAAAATGGGTTCTATTAAAAAAAAACATAATTATCATACAAGAAATTTTGTAAAATAAAAAGAAAAAATTTCTGTCTCAATTTTCAAAATATTTTACTAAGTCTTTTACAATCTATTCTTAAAAATTAACTGAGTATTAGACAAAAGTTTTAAACGAACTAATAAATAAGGTTATTTGAAAAAATTTGAAAAAGATCGGTATAGAAAGTTTTCTAAAACATAAAAATAAAACATCACTAAATTCCAATTTCTTGAAATTCTCCACGTGACCTGAATTCAGAATTTCCATTTCCTGAGATCAATGAAAATTGTTCCCCTAAAGTATAATGAGTAATGTTTTTTATTTCCCGCAGCTATAGAGGGGGTTAAAATATATCGAAAATTTAAAACTTAATAGCAAAAATCGTACGTGTTTCTATTGCTTACAAGGAAAAAGCTTTTTCTCTCTTGGAGAGAATAATTCTAAATTTGGACTTATGTTATGCAGGGCGTTCAATGTATTCACTAAGGGGTCAGTATGGCTTCGGGAATAGTGCGGAGGGTTAGAGGTGAACCTGAAATGGAGATAAGTTGGATGCTATAACTGACTTGGCTGGCGGTGAGAAAGGAGAGAGAGAGAGAGAGAGAGAGACCACCGCATAAGGCAACAAGCCACGAGAATCACTGAATCGATATTAACTTGCGATAGTTGCTACCTCCCCTTCTATTTATCGCACTAGATAAGGCGCTCGAGTATGCGCCCTCGCTTTTAATACACCTGAGACGTATCATATTTTTCTTTTCACATTTAATTTACAATTTTGATTTTTTATAATCGTTGAAACATTTTTAATTTTGAAAATCTGACTTTAGATTCGTAATCAGCGACCTTAAAACCCCATAGACACCAATTTTTATAAAAACTCCACTAGTTTCTTAAAATTTGTCCGCCATATTGGATCCGCCATTTTGAATTTTGTAAATCTGACTTCAGATTCGTAATCAGAAACCCTACAACCCCCTAGATACTGATTTTCATAAAAAATCAACTGGTTTCTTAAAATTTGTCCGCCATATTGGTTCCACCATTTTGAATTTTGAAAATTTGACTTCAGATTCGTAATTTCGTACTTTCACCAAAACTAAAGTTAATTTTTTGTACGGAATTCAATCTTTATAAAATGCAATAATTCAAAAAATGTCTTACTTGAATAATTTTGATTTTTTTTCCTAAAAGTTGAGAGATTTTAAAATTCATGTGTAAAATTTCGTAGAAAATTAATTGAAATAGAAAAATAATAGAATTAATAAAATTAATAGAAAATTAATTGCCAAAGGAAAAATTTGATTTTAACTATTTTTAAGGGGAGGGTACATCGATATTTTTAATTATATCAAGAAAGTAATTTAAATAATCTACAAAATTATTTTTAAGGTAATTTTTCATGAGGAATTCAATGGTCAAAAAATAAAATAGGTCATAAAATATTTTGATCCTTTTTGAATTTTTATTTTACTGAAAAATTGGTAGATTTTGAAATCTATGCGTCATTTTTTAGAGTATTTTTGCTTTTGAATCCACAAAAAAATTATCCAATAAAAAAATTAATTTTCATAATTTTTGAAGCACTTTTTTGAAAATAAAATTGTGCTTTTAGGTTGAAAATGCTAAAAAAAATACTATTATTATTACATTTTTTTGTTTGAAAATTTATTTCTTTATTATTTTTGTAACTAATTTCAAATCATAATTTTTATATAATATAAAAAATAAAAAATATTTTAAAAATTTAGTAAAATTATGATCTAAAATTAGTTAAGAAAAATAAAAAAATGAATTTTCAAATAAAAAATAAATAATAATAGTATTTTTTAGCATTTTCAGCCTAGAACCAAAGATTTTTTTCAAAAAAATGCTTCAAAAATTATGAAAATCAATTTTTTCATTTAGAAATTTTTTTCTTGATTGAAAAACATATATTATCTACAAAATTACGCATGGATTTCAAAATCCACCAATTTTCAGGTAAAATAAAAATTCCAAAAGAGTTAAAATATTTACTGATCGATTATGACCATTGAATTCCTCACAAAAAATTACTTTAAAAATAAAATTTTGTGGAATATTAAAATTATTTTCTTGATTTTGTTAAAAATATCGATGTACCCTCCCCTTAAAGCATTTTTTAAAAAATGTTATTAGGCTAAAAATGCTTAAAAATACTACTGTTATTTAATATTTTATTTGAAAATATATTTCTTCATTTTTCTATCTAATTTCAGAATATAAATTTTTTATTTTTTACATAAGAAAATTCAGATTACAAATTAGTAAAAAAAAATAAACAGACAGATTTTCAAATGAAAATATTGAATAAAAATAGTTAAGTTAAAGTTAATGTGTTAAGTTTAAGTGAGACTCTGAATGTAAGTGAAGAAAAATTGTGATTTTAGTTTCAATAAAAGTGTAAGTAAAAAAAATAAATTTTACTGTTAGAAAAAGTGGGAGCGAAAGTGTAAGTAAAAAATTATTTTTCGCTCTTCTAAAAATCAAAGTAAGAGTGTAAAGGAAAAAATAAATTTTAGTGTTGCTAAAATTGCGATAGTCATCAGCAAATAAAAAATAAAACAACTCTGCGTAAAACTTAAGAAACAAAAATAGAAAAACATTTTTGCCAGTTGATTCAAAACTAATAAACAAAGTTTATCAAAAAAAAATTGAAAATATTAACCGCGCTTTTATGACGACGGAATTTTTCGGTATCGCAGAATAAAAAAAAATGAGGGATCATTTGTCACATAACACGCGATCAAATGTCAAATCCGTTCTAATCCTGCCTTTCATAAGAGCATCTCTCGTTCTCAGTCACGACAATTCGCGTGGCAGGGATTTTACGGATTTTTAAGCTTTAAATCCCAGACTGAAAGAGAGAGAGAGAGCCTTAATCTATCGCTTAGTGTTTGATGGTTCAGGTTTTGCTTTCTCCGAACTTATGGTTACATAGCTATATAATACGTTAAAATTCACGTGTATGCAATATACAGAAGCCCCATTTTGCTTCTTTTGTTGTTGGAAAAGTAGCTGATAGCTATATATATACAACATTTTTTGTCCTTCTCATGTTCTCGAACCATATTCTATTTTACCTCACCTATATATTTTCTGAGATTCATAAAAATTTTGTCAAAAGTTTAATGAGGTTTTTATTCACATATTTCTAGTAGGGAAATAGTTTCTTATTTTTCTTTTTTTTTAAAATAATATATTATTAGTGGAAGTCTAAATAAGTGGATATGGCTAGCGAGCACGAAGGGATTTGCACTGAATTTATAGGGTAAGGTTCATTTTCACCCTTGGGCAAAAAAAGGCTTTGAATAAAAAAGAAACATTACAGAAAACTATACCGAGACTCACCGAAACGAAGACAATTGTTGAAAACTCCAGGAGAAAAATCCAGTTCACGTTGATTTGGTTGATTTTCACGGGGTGACCAGGCGATGATGTAATTAATCCTTTATCAATGTTTCCTTCGTCAATTAATCCTTGGTTTGCAGGAATTTTTCCTTTTTCCCGAATGACAGGCGAGTTCACATGCAAGAGAAGTCGGCGTTGTCCAGAACATTCTGTAAAACAATTCAAAAAATTATTCTAAAGAAAAATATTTTCGTAAATGGAATGAAAAAAGTAGAGGGTTGCCACGCTTTTGCTCCTTTCAAATTCCCTGACTTTTCCAGGTTAAAAACGGAATTTTAAATAAATATTTAATCATTAATTTTTTTAATAGAAATTAAGATATTCAAAAATTTAAAATTCAATTCAATAATTCAATAATTTCAAATTTAAACCTTTTAAAATTCAATAAATTTTAAGAATATTATTATAAAACATGACCGAGTGATACAATAATTATTTTATATTATAAACGAATATTATTACTGTAACTTCTTCAAAATTATTTTCATCAATTCAATTCAATTATTATTTTTTAGAATTTTTAACTAAAATTTTTCTTAAAATCAATTATTTTTGATAATTTTTTATATAATTGTCAAATCTATTTGTTTACAATTCAATTTTACACGAAATTTCGTTTATTCGAATATTCTTCAATTAATTATATATTAGACAGGGTGTCTAACAATAGGATTGAGAAAATAATTCCCTGACTTTTCCTTGACTTTTTACTAATTTTATTTCTGCTTTCTAATGATCCACAAGTTTTGAACGTTCAAATGAACGAAACACTTTTTATTAGAAATGTTTTTATAATTTATTGTTTGCAATAAAAATTAAAAACTTAAATTTCACACTTAGAAACTTTATATTTCATTTATTTTATATCGACAAAAAATTATTGTAATAAATATTTAAATTAAAGAAGAAAATAAATAAATTTCGTTCATTTGAACGTTCAGAACTTTAGGATCATCTTTCTAGGGACAAAAATATGGTAACTGGCATATTTAACAATAAATTAATATATCTAATGATAGAAACAACCGATTTTTTCTTCTGTTTTATGTCATTTAGCTTCAATATTTTTGGGCTCTACAAAAACACTTTACTTATTTAATAGTCTTCACCCTTTGGTAAAAAATTTGATATTATTAAAAATTATCAAAAATTCGAAAAACCGAATTTCTTAAAATTCAACATTTTCTCTTCTCTTTTATGGCATTTAGCTTCACTATTTTTGAGCTCTTCAAAAACACTTTATTTATTTAATAGTCTTCACACTTTGCTAAAAAATTTGAAATTATTAAAAATTATTAAAAAATCGAAAAACTGAATTTCTTAAAATTCAACATTTTTTCTTCTTTTTTATGGCATTTAACTTCATTATTTTTGGGCTCTTAAAAAACACTTTACTTATTTAATAGTCTCTGTCCTTTGGTAAAAAATCTAAAATTATTTAAAATTATCAAAAATTTGAGAAACCGAATTTCTTAAAATTTAACATTTTTTCTTCTTTCTTATGGCATTTAGCTAAATTATTTTTGGACTTTTCAAAAACACTTTACTTATTTAATAGTCTTCACCCTTTGGCAAAATATATAAAATTATTAAAAATTATCAAAAATTCGAAAAACCGAATTTCTTAAAATTCAACATTTTTTTTTCTCCTTTATGGCATTTAACTTCACTATTTTTTGGCTCTTCAAAAACACTGTACTTATTTAATAGTCTTCACCCTTTGGTAAAAAATTTGAAATTATGAAAAATTATCAAAAATTCGAAATTTGAAAATAATTTAATTCATTGTAAATAATTCAGTTCCTATGATATTTTTATTATTTATGAAAATAATTAAATGTTTTCGTAGAATTTTATCAAAATTTGTTTTAAATAATTGAATTTTTTTGAAAAATTTTATTAAAATAGTCGATATTGAAAATCATTGAATTGAGAAAATTTTTGAAAATAATTGAAATTTTGCTAAGAAATTTATTAAATTTTTTGAAAATAATTGAATTTCGAAGAAAATTGTTATTATTTATAAAGATAATTGAAATTTTGACGAGAATTTTTGTAAATAAAATAAATAATTGGATTTCTTTAATAAATTTTAATAAAATTTTTAAGAATTGTTACATTTTTCGAAGAATTTTATTAAAATTGTATTAAAAGTAATTGAAAGTCTGAGATGAGTTTTATTTTTATAAAAATAATTGAATTCCAAAAAAGAATTTTATAATTTAATTTATGAAAATAATGGAATAATAATTTATGAAAATAATTTGTAAATAATTGAGTTTTTGTGAAATTTTTATTATTTACGAAAATAATTAAATGTTTGCGTAGAATTTTATTAAAATGTTTTTTAAATAATTGAATTCGTTTGTGAAATTTTATTAAAGTAGTAAATATTAAAAATCATTGAATTGAGGAAAGTTTTTGAAAATAATTGCAATTTTGCCAAGAATTTTATTAAAATTTTTGAAAACAATTGAATTTCTGCGAAGAATTTTACTAATTTTGAAAATATATTTAATTGAATTGCTATGCAATCATTTGTAATTGCTTCAAAATTCAATTTTTTTAGTGTTTTTAACTAAAATTCTTCTATAAATTCATTATTTTTAATAATCAATTAAATATATATTAAAAAATGTAACTAATTTCAGAAGAATTTCAGTTTAAAAATTTTTTTTTAAATCAAAGTTTTTTATATTTCTAATTAAATTCATTTAAAATTGAAATTTTACAGAATTTTAAATCAAAATTTTTTGAAGTTCATCTACTTATGAAAATTGTAAACGAAATTCTTTTAATTCCAAAGGCACAAAAGTGTCGACTTCATGAAGCAGACGACAGGGAGTAAAAAACATTCACTTGTTGAACTCGGAAAATAAAATGCTGCACGTTTTTACTCTTGGGCAAAAAAAAACTCGTGCCTCATTTTTACCCATGGGATAAAAGATCCGCCACTTCCCTACTGTTAATTATTAATTCATTTTTGAACTTTATTATTTAAGAGAGAAAAAATGTCTTTTTAATATTTAAGAAATAATAGAAAAATTTTCTCTCAACAATTAATCATATATACATTGAGACAAATATGAAAAACAAAAATTAATTCCCTTCGTGAAAATGTCGCGAGAGAAACATATTTACCAATTTTACACGACTCTGTCAAATTCTGAACATTCCGACTCGAAAGAATAAAGATTCCTTTTTATAAAATATATAAATACACTAGAGTCATTCCATTATATTTCGACTAAAGTCGTTGCCGACTAATTTTAAAAAATTGTAATATTTTGCAGGAATGATTTTAAAGATATTAGGATCACCGAACAAAAAGAATTTTTTAAATATTTTTTATATTTATTGTAAAATAAGCATCTAAAGTATATGAAGTCGTAAAAACTGACACTTTTTCATCTAATAGAAAATATTAAAGAAAACACATAATTTACTATAAAAACGTAAAAAAATTATTAGAATTTATTAAGAATGAATTATTTTATTATTATAAATTGATAGAAACAATTATTAATAAGAAATATTAAATAAAAAATAATTTTAAAGTTTACATGGAAAATAACCTATTTTTGCAAATTTCATTCACTAAATATGAGAAAGAGAAATCATTAAATTGGATAAAACCTTATGAAATATAAAGTACCTGTGATTAACTTTTAGTTTTTCTTATCACTTTCTTCCTGTTTTCTTCACAAATATTAAAAAATAAGCAATTAAAATTGGCACTTTGCTTATTTTCACGATTTTCAAATGTAAATAACTTTTGCCTAGAAAAATGAAAAATTACGAAAATTGGGCAATAATTAATTCATCACTAGATACACTTACTGGAAAAAGATTTTCTTTGGTCCCGAAGCTATTTCTCGAATTAATTAACTTTAAACTTTTTACTATTTTTATCAGGTTAATACATGTGGTTTTTAAAGGACGAAGTTAGCTCTTCTTGTTTAATCTTTTTGAACCAACTTCAGTTTTAAAGAAATCACATGTATTAACCTGATAAAAATAGTAAAAAGTTTAAAGTTAATTAATTCGAGAAATAGCTTCGGGACCAAAGAAAATCTTTTTCCAGTAAGTGTATCTAGTGATGAATTAATTATTGCTTAATTTTCGTAATTTTTCATTTTTCTAGGCAAAAGTTATTTACATTTGAAAATCGTGAAAATAAGCAAAGTGCCAATTTTAATTGCTTATTTTTTAATATTTGTGAAGAAAACAGGAAGAAAGTGATAAGAAAAACTAAAAGTTAATCACAGGTACTTTATATTTCATAAGGTTTTATCCAATTTAATGATTTCTCTTTCTCATATTTAGTGAATGAAATTTGCAAAAATAGGTTATTTTCCATGTAAACTTTAAAATTATTTTTTATTTAATATTTCTTATTAATAATTGTTTCTATCAATTTATAATAATAAAATAATTCATTCTTAATAAATTCTAATAATTTTTTTACGTTTTTATAGTAAATTATGTGTTTTCTTTAATATTTTCTATTAGATGAAAAAGTGTCAGTTTTTACGACTTCATATACTTTAGATGCTTATTTTACAATAAATATAAAAAATATTTAAAAAATTCTTTTTGTTCGGTGATCCTAATATCTTTAAAATCATTCCTGCAAAATATTACAATTTTTTAAAATTAGTCGGCAACGACTTTAGTCGAAATATAATGGAATGACTCACTACTAATTTGTTTTTACGAAAAAAAAATTTGTATTGTTCAAAAAAAAGGAGAAACAGGAGAAACATTATGGGAAATTAATTGTGACTCACCGAAACGAAGACAATCGTTGAAAAATCCAGTCCACGTTGATTTGGTTAATTTCCACGGGGTGACCATCAGGCGACGATGTAATTAATCCTTTATCAATGCTTCCTTTATCGATTAATCCTTGGTTTTGCAGAAATTTTTTCTATCTCAAAAATGACAGCCGAGTTCACGTGCAAGAGCACGTCGTTGTCCAGAGCATTCAGACCTAACCTCCAGGTTTGTTGCGCAAGTGCTGTGTGCAACAGACATTTTTCATCTTCTGCGACTGTTATCACAAAAAAAAGAAAATAGGAATTTACATTTCTGAAAAAGGAGAAACATTAGTGTAAAATATCGTGACTCACCGAGAAGAAAGCAATTGTTGAAAACGTCAGGAGCGTCAGGAGAAAAATCCAATCCACGACTTTGGTTGATTTCCACGGAGTGACCACGTGGCGAGGTAAATAATCTTTGCGATTGCGATTATTTCTTTTGTCCATTAATCCCTATGGTGTTGCACAAATTTTTCCTTTATCATATCACTGATTACAGGCGAGTTGAGAGCATCCGGCGTCGTCCAGTCGGTCGAGTCCATTCTTCGCGCATGTGCAGTGCTCCATCGTCTCCGTACAACAAAATGGCGGATCTCAGTCTTCATGTAGTGACGTCGACATGTGAATAAATCGAATAAATCGTTCAAGTTTTGGTCGAATCTTTGAAAAAAGGGGAAAAAATAGAAACAAAAGAAATTAAAACAGATTTTCCGAGAAGAAAGGAAAAAAACTTCATAATTTCAATCTGCCAAACAAGTAAGTTTTTCATAGGAATAAAAATGAAAAAATGTGATTACCATTTGTAAATTGCAATGTTTCTTATAAAATACCTAATTCTTTTCATAAACAAAGAAAAAACTTTGCATAATTTCTCTTTTTCAATGACAACTTCTACAATATTCCAAGTTTTCATTAATTTTCTGAATTTTTATTTTATGAGTGTTTGTCAGTCTAACCAAAAAACAAAATGAAGTGATAAATAAAAACAATAATAATTTCTTTTATTATAGTAAATTATTACAGTAAAAAAAGAAAAATAATATTAATTTAAAAAATATCTAAGAAAACAAAAGTATAATCACGACTAATTTCAGGTGTGGACACAATCGACAGAATAAAAGAATTACTACGACTTAAAAGACAACAGGAATTTGCATTTCTGAAAAAGGAAAAACATGGAAAATCATTGTGCGACTTACCGAATCGAAGACAATCGTTGAAAACATCAGGAGAAAAATCCAGTCCACGTGTTGGTTGAGTTCCTCGGAGTGACCCGGCAACAAGTAAGTAAAATCCTTGGTTTATCACTAATATTTTCTTTGTCAATTAATCTTTGTTTTAATTAACAATTAAATTAATTTATAAAAAGAAAAATACTACCAATCAGTCACATTCAGTAAATTTGATAATATTTTCCAATATTTTAATGTATTGATAAGCAAAAGTGTGGAAGCAATAATTTTACTCTATTTTATTCCACAAATATTTAATTAAAAGTATTTATCGATTAATCATGATTTTGAATTGAAAATAGTTTGTAATTATTTACTCTTTATTGGAATGTGTATTTCAAAAAATATTTATGTAATATTTTTTAAATTTATAAACAAGAGGCACAGCATAACCTATAAAAATATTCATTAACTTTTTTTTTGAAAAGGAAACTACTTTTACTTAAAAATAGAATTAAATTTTTGAGTGGATATTTTTTAATAATAAATTAATAAAGTAAGGAATTTTGTTCGATATGAAAACAATTATTTTATTATCAGGTGCATTTCAGATGTAAATGTAAACTGGACATTTGTGTGATTAATTTTACCCATTTTACTGAATTTGACTGAATGGTCACAAATTTTTTCTGAGTCATCGGAAATAATTTCTAAAGAAGTTCTGAGTATCTCCGTGTTTCGGAAAAAAATCTTGAATAAAAAATCTTCAATTTGATGAAAAAAAAGCCCAAATTTGATATTCGACTCCAAAAATTGTAAAAATAAATTTACAAGACCAGCGTCTTTTTCTAGACACACATTTTTTCTGAATCGTAAATAAATTCTAAAAAAGTTCTGAGTACCTCAGGAAAAAAAATTAAAAATCTCTATTTTAATAAAAAACTCCAATTGGATGAAAAAAGACCAAATTTATTAATCGATCCCAAAAACGATGTTAAAAAAAGTTATCAAGACCAGCGTCGTTCTTCAAGACGCAAATTTTTTATGAATCGGAAATAAATTCTAAAAAAGTTCTGAATACCTCAGTGGTTCGGAAAAGCTATTTTTTAATAAAAAAAAGCTCCAATTTAATGAAAAAAAGACCAAATTTGAAAATCGTCCCCAAAAATTGTCAAGTCCAGCGTCGATTTTCAAGACGCAAATTTAACTGACGAGTTTAGAAATTATTTTATGTAATTTATGAAATTCGACCTCGTTATATTAGTTAAATAATAATAATAATATTTAATAATAATATAATGAAAATATTTTTGTAATGATTTTATAACGAATTAAGAAAAAAATTGAATTTTTTCGTAAAACTTTCTTTAAAATAATTGAATTTTTGCAAAAGATTTTACTATAAAAAAAAATAAAATTGTTTTGAAGGATTTATTAAAATTCTAGAAAATAATTGTATTCGTTCGTCAATTTTTATAAAATTTTTTTTAAAAAAAATAATTGAATTTTTACAAAAAATTTTACTGTTAATAAAAATAATTGAATTCTTACGAAAAATATTATTTTTGAAAATAATTGAATTCTCGCGAAGAATTTTGATAAAATTTTTTAAAAATCTAATTAAATTCTTTTTGAAGAATTTCTTTGCATTTTTTTTAAATAATGGAGTTTCTTTAAAAATTTTAATTAAAAATTCTGAAAATAATTGAATTTTATGAACAATTTGTTTTAAGTTTTTAAAATAATTGTGTTTGTTAAAAATTAAAATTAAACATTTAATTATTGAATTTTATTAAAATTTTAGAAAGTAATTAAATTCTTTTGAAAAATTTTTAACGAATTAAAGAAAATTGAATTATTTCGTGAAATTGTTTTGAAAATAATTAAATTTCTGCAAAGAATTTTACTATTTATAGATACAATTGAATTGTTTTGAAGGATTTATTAAAATTTGAAAAAAAAATTGAATTTTGAAGAAAAATATTATTAAAAATTTTTTTTTAATTTTTTAAAAATTGAATTCTTTCGTGGAATTTTTTAGAAAATAATTGAATTTATGTAAAGATTTTATAGAGAATTAAGAAAAAAAATTGAATTCTTTCGTGAAATTTTCTTGAAAATAATTGAATTTCTGCAAAGAATTTTCCTATTTATAAATATAATTGAATTTTTTCGAAGGATTTATTAAAATTTTAGAAAGAAATTGAATTTTGTAGAAAAATATTATTAAAAATTTTTTAAAAATTGAATTCTTTCATGAAATTTTATTAAAATTGTATTAAAAATAATTGAATTTTTGCAAAGAATTTTACTATTTATAAATATAATAGAATTTTTTCGAAGAATTTATTAAAATTTATTTTATAAAATAATTAAAGTTTTTCGAAAAATATTATTAAAATTTTTTAAAAAAGTGAATTCTTTCGTGAAATTATTTTGAATATAATATTGAATTTTTTTTAACAAATTAAAAAAATTAAATTCTTTCGTGAAATTTTTTTTGAAGACAATTGAATTTTTGTAAAGATTTTATAACGAATTAAGACAAAAATTGAATTCTTTCATGAAATTTTCTTGCAAAAAATTGAATTCTTTCATGAAATTTTCTTGAAAATAATTGATTTTTTTCAAAGATTTAACTTTAAGAAAATAATTAAATTGTTTAGAAGGATTTATTAAAATTCTAGAAAATAATTGTATTCGTTCGTGAAATTTTATTAAAATTTTATTTAAAAATAATTGAATTTTTACAAAATATTTTAATGTTTATAAAAATAATTAAATTATCACGAAGAATGTTATTATTTACGAAAATAATTCAATTCTTGTGAAAAATTTTATTAAAATTTTTGAAATTATAAAACAAGAATAATTAATTAGTAATTGGATTTTTTTTAAAGTTTGAATATGAAATTATTGAAAAATTCATATTTAAAAATAAAAAATTTTGTAATTTGCATAATAATAATAAATTGATTATCACGTTCCTCGCTCTGGCGTGCATTACATTTGCTAGTAAAGAATATAATCGTGATTTATTTTTAATTCTTTTTTTTTGTAGAAATATAATTTTATAAATCAAATTTCTTTTGTTTGTTGCATATGAGACCCTCCTTTTCGGTTAAAGTTGAATGCATATAAGTATGGTTATAGTGTGTATAATGGAAATTAAATAGATGGCACATATATATAGAGAGATACTGACAGCTGCGCTAGATTCCGTGCGTGCGGTTGTAATCGAGGAACATCAAGATTTAAAATATGACTCGTGAAATGCATGAAAAAAATTTTTTTCTATTAAAATCCCTTCACACCTCATTAAATGACAAGCATAGCGAACTGAATGAAACGATTTTCTCTATATTTCACGATTCTTAGTCACAGCTAAGCTCATCTATTGAAATTCACAATGTGATTAGTGTGATGACGTTTCATATATACGCGTGTATATGCATTCCATAAAGTAAATTAATAATTTAGAATTTGAAAGAAAGAATACCTATCAGATAAAGAAAATTATTTCCACAGATTTATTTAATCTTTTATTATATCAATTATTTTATTTAGAAAAAAGTTTTTAGAACAGTTTTTTTTAATTACTCTGTTGCCCATCTATTTATTTTTTTGGTATGGAAAACAATTTTTTACCTTCTAAAAAATTGTTAAAATATACTCTTAGAAAATGTTTAGTTTTGGTGGAAAAAAAAAATTGAAAGAAATTTTTTTTCCACCCTCTGATGCATCGTGCCATTACTTAAAATAACAAAATAATAAAGTAAGAATATAAATATACTCTAAAAAGTAATAAACTCTCGTGATGTAGTTTTAAACAAGTGTTCCCTGTCTATTTTATTTTGCTTCATATCCCGTGTGGAAAAAAAAAGTTGTCTGCTTCTTAGAGGTTTTTTTTTCTCTCCCCCCACACACACCAGACGGAGACTTTTTAACCCTCTTCAACATCCACACATATAAAATTGTATGAGGGGTGAAAAACACATTTTGTAATGTTATATATGTATATATATATATAAAGAGGAAAGAAATGTTTTAAGAGGCGCCAAAGTCCCCTTGGGGGACACAATGTCATGTCAGTGAAAATATCAACTGAGAATTTGCGTAGATCGACATTGGAGAATGGAGACAAGTTCGATTTCAATGTTGAAAGGACCTCCATTTCCTGCGGGGTGGTGGATCTCTTGTTTCAAGTTTGGTTTCTCTGCGTCATGAAAACAGCTTCCTGTTTTATTTGCCCGTTGTCTAATGTTTCCTATAGCGCATACTATACAATATATCCATGAGGCGACGAGCTGATGACAACTTGACAGTATACAAGACTCTGATGAACCTGTCATGATTGACATGAATATAAACATATTTAATATTTTTTGACCTATTTTTTCAAGAATTCTAAAAATTTCCCCAAAACAGGGCTCAAACTAGGTTCGTAAATTCCCTAAACGTCCGTAAATTTGCTTGAAGTCCGTAAAAGTCAGTTTTTTTGAAAAAAGATCCGTAAAGTGCGTAATATGATTGAGAAAAGACGAAAATTTCGAAAATTGTTCGATATAATTCGGAGAATTTTAGAGAAATTACAAATAACTGCAGAAATTCAATTATTTGCAAAAGTAATAAAATTCTTCGCAGAAATTCAATTATTTAAAAAATTTTTAAAAATTCTAGTCAAAATTTCAATTATCTTTAGAAATACTTAAATTCTTCTCCGAATTTCAATTATTTTCAAAAATTTTAATAAAATACTTCGCAGAATTTCAATTATTTTTAATACAATTTTAATTAAATTCCTCAAAAAATGTAATTATTCTTAAAAATTTAATTAAAATTCATCAAAAGAATTCAATTATTTAAAAAATTTTTGATAAAATTCTTTATAAGAATTCAATTTTAAGAAATATTCAATAAATTAACATTCAATTAATTAATTAACAAACATTCAATATTCAATTATTATTTAGTTAAATTTGTTGATAACAATTGAATTATTAAAAGCATTATAGCGTGCATTTTTAGAAATAATTGAATCTTGAAAAGGTTTCAAATTAAAATCTTTGAAAATCTGGATTTTTCGTACTTTCAACTAACAATTATGTAGA